TCCATAGGGTTTAGGTTTAGGGTCTAAGGACGCTTAGGGTTTAGGGTTACAGGACTGTTTCAGGCTTAGGGTTTGGTGTCTAGGGCTTCAGGCTTAGGGCTTCGGGTTGACGAAATTAGTATGCAAGCTCCTGGTGACGGCTGAAAAGGATTTACAATCTTTAAGTAGTGTTGTTGGGGCTTCTAACCGCTTCTTCGACATGGCTTTGTATATATATATACACACACATACAGGCGTCCCCTTTCTTAGGGTTCTGAGAGACATGCAAGGCGAACCACAAGACCTTGATGTTGGTTCTAGGGGTACGTTGCTTAACCCCTAAAGCAGCATTAAGGATGAAGGCTTTAGGGTTTCGGGGTAGGCTTTTGGCTTGCAGCTCGACAAGCCTTTTGAAAGAGAGGTTTGTCCGAGTTCAGGGTTTTACTTCGGAAAACGCTGAAACTGTGGATCACTGTGTTGCCTGCAAGATGCTGTTCTTCAGTCGAAACAACACATCCGGATTTAGCTTTCTGAATTCCTGCGCCCTATGTAACACTATAGTCGCTCAACCTTGGGTAGATCCCGCATCAACCACCTAAAAGCAAACACGACAAACTGTCTGAGAAAAAACACCCTCAAACCTGACGCTCGAGCTCAGGTCCTTGGAAGTGTACTCCTCCGGCTCGTCCTTACCTGCGCTGCGCAGACAGGAGCGTACACGGTTTTTTTGAAACCCCTAAGCCATACAACCCTAGACACCTAAGTCCCTGGAAGCCTACTGGCCACGACCGTCAACTCTCAAAGCCTCAACTCTTTTTGAGGCCATGGGCTCCGGTACCCAATCATCAACCCTGGCACCCTACACGCTGAGACCCGACTCCCAGAAGCCTAGAGTCGTGAGACCCTAAGACACTATACAACTCTGACTTAAACCCTGAACCCTATAAACCTGAGTACCTCAAGTCCTGAACCCAAAACCCCAAACTGCTGAAGCCCCATGAAAAGCCCAACAGAAAACCTTGAACATCTTACTGTTCCACGAGAGCACCCGAACGCTAAACCACCTCCTTCAGGGATACGCCAGGTACTGTAGGGGGCTTAATAATTAGA